ATCATCATCATCTCCACAAGAATTTTCCTCCATGTCAACTTTTTTTTCTTCAGCAGTCGTCCATTTTTCAACTTCTCAAATCTCTTCCTTTTCGCCTCTATCCACCTCATTGACTGCAACTCCTTCCTTTTCCTCAGCTCCTTCTTCGCCTCGATAGGTAGCGAACATGTCCTCATCTGCCGTGTGTACAAGTCAATCAACACCCCCATCTTTTGCCACCCACCCTCACCAAAGCCACTAACACCACCAGCACCCTCCGTGAAAGCCAAATTTGAAATTGAAGAAGAATGTTTCAATTTATTCACTGCCATTTTCGGGTTCACACTAAATCTTCCATTCATAGATAGCCACAAACTCAACTCTATTTCCTCATTTTCATCATTCTCCACTTTTCCTTTATTAGTGAAACGTTATCCATTCATGAATTTACGCAACATATCCTTTGAAAACCTATTCATGTGCATGGAAAGATTAAAATTTTCTCTATTTTCATTCATCACTAATACATAAAAACAAAGAAATCCAGATTTTCAAAACACCCAAATAGAATAAAAATGAAAAAGAAAACTTTACTATGAAAAATCAATGTTATCAAAACCGGCCCAGCTCGACCGGTTCAATTGTAATATTGGGAATCGAGCCCAAAATCGGGTCAATCATGCCCGGTTAACCGCTTAAAAATCCACCAAACTAGCCGGTTTAACTGTAAACCAGTGAACCGTTCGCGATTTTGTGGATTTTTCAAAAAAATTTTTAAGTTTAAAAAGTTTCAACTTTACGAATGGGCCTCATAAACAATAATTCAAAGGCCTATAGAGAAATATTAGATGATATGCTCCTTTTATAGATGTATATCTCTCAAATTGTTTCATAAACTTTCAATGTGAAATAGTGCATTTTATAGATACACTTCACTCCAATGGTTTCATAAACTTCCAATGTGGGATAGTAGCATAACAAAAAATTTTAACAAAATATAGAATAATGAATCTAATTAACAAATTATTAATATAAATTTTTGAAAAAAAAAATATTGCTTTTATAGTATTTTATTATTTTTGTATGTATTTATTGCATCCGGTTCGATCCCGATTGAACCTTTTGACTCTTGAACCTTCACCTTTTTTCGGGTCGATGACTGAGTCGATTTTCAAAACATTGTGAGAAATAGAAATATTTGCACAAAGGGAAAAGGAAGAAGGGGAAGGAAAATTGAGGTTGAAAAGAGGGAGGCTTTTCAATAGCAGGTTACGAAATAACAAAAGTGTCCATAAACGTGTGACGTAAATGCCTTGGGAAAGTGAAATGTGGTCGTACCAACCAAGTTTCAAGTAGGGGTGTTAACAAGCCGAGTTGAAACTCTCGGCTCGAGCTTTTTTAAGGCGGATTTTTTTTCCCGAATCGAGCCGAGCCGACTCAATTTTTTCCCTCTCAGCTGCCTATTTAAGACAACTATTTAGTTGTCTGTTTGACAGCTATAAAGCTGTCGGCCTTAACCGACAGCAAATCTGCTACTTGTTGGCAGTAGATCAACCGCATGTTTGGCAATTAAAATAGTTGTCATTTTTGTTGCCATAACCAGCAGCTTCATAGCTGCCTATTTGGCAGCAAAACGAATACTTTTTGGCTATTGTTTATTTAAACGGGCCAGCTCAGGCGTGGGCCAAATCCCCGAAATGAGGTTCCTTGCCTCCAACGTCAAGTCGAGTCGGCTCGGGCTTTTTATGGGCCAAACCATGAGTGGCTCAAGCCGTTAAGCCCGATTCCCAACCTAAATTTCGAGGAGGTCTGATAAAATAGGTGTTTAGGATTTGGTAATTAATGGACACATTTTTGCTTCTGGGGCTAGATGAGATTTCCACGTGTCGATGACATAACTGCCTTGTAGTGTTGCACAATGTAGTTTCTCTCCATTAGTTGCTACTATCTGTCAGAGCGACGTGGAAGGCTCTCAGACAAATACGTGGACAGAGATTTTGATACTCGAGCTGTACATGAGTTGTGAGTCTCAACTTCTTACGTTTAAATTCAACTAATGATATGTTCAATTATAACTCTTATAAAATAATATAGTCTAATTTTATTTATGTTTTGCGCATCTCTTTGTTGCGAGCTCACAACAATAAATAGAGGCGCAATCGATCTTCCAATTTGATTTCTCCAAACCTATAGAAACAGCACTACGGTAAAATAATAAATTTGGGTAAACTCAAATCAATTTAATTAAGTTGACCTTGGACTGAAAATTAGAAATAGGAAAAGAGGAAATTACATAAAAACAGTCGTTTAAATTTTTTAATTCAATATTCAGGTCTGAAGTTTATTTAAACAAAAATCAGGTATTAATACAATTTACCCATTCACAATTTATTACCATGTCCCATCTCACTCTTCTCTTTCTCTAAACACACGCACATCCCGTCATCTCTTCTCCTTAATCTGCATCCTTTCTCAACAGTAGCGGCACCGCCCTTGGAAGAGGATCTCCGACGATTCTGTTACCACAGCCTGATTGAGGTGGTGGATCCTCATTAGCTCCATTGGTATGGGCTCTTAAATCTCGAGCAATCGATGATGAATAAGATGCGCGTAATGACAAAACTGGCATCAGGGGCTAATAAAAGTTCTCAGTAGCGTTGTCGAGCAACGCATATTCCAACTCCGCGAATGACAACGTTGCATCCTTCGACCCCTACTGGTGCGTACAATCCTTCGTCGTGATGTAGTCCTTCGCGTCGACACTGCAATCCTTTGGGTTTTTGGGTGTGCGGTGGTGGTGAGATAGTGGTATGATTGAATGCAGTGGTGATGAGATAGTGGTATCATTGGATGCAGTGGTGTTGGCTGCGTGGTGATGGCACTGTTAGATATGCAGTGGTGTTTGACCAATTGTGGTGTAGATATGGTGTGTAATGGGTTGGTGGGTTCAGATTTGGTTTGTGATGGTGGTGATAGTTTGTGGTTGGATGCGGTAGTGGTGGGTGTGTTGTGGATGCGGTGGTGTTGGCGGCACTACCGATGTAAGGTGTTTGACCAGTTATGGGGCACATGTGGTTTGTGGTGGGTTAATAGGTTCAAATCTAATTGGTGGTGGTGATAGCGGTAAGGTGGTTATGTTGTCGTAGTGGTTTGAGTTACTGTTGGTGGTGGTTGTGGCGGTAGCAGAGGCATCGACGACGACGGGATGGGATAAAGAGTGTTTGGGACCAACTATTTGATTGATTAGTGACCAAAAATTGGTGGTGGATCGAGATCGAGAGTTGGATATTTGGTGTATGTTACCAACTATTTGGTTTTATGTGACTAACTGTTAAACTTTGACATTAAAATTTGATAATTTGTGATTAAGAACTAATTTATGCCAACAAGTTTAAAAATATGTGTCTTATAGATAAATTGTGACATATAAATTTTTTATTTATGATATCGAAATAATATGTGACCAATTAATTTGATAATATGTGACATATAATTATGTACCTATGACAATTAATTATATAATTGTGATATTATTACATTTAATTAATAAAATATTTTTAATTAATAAATAAATACTTGATTTTTGCATTTTTAAACTTAAGACATGAAAATTATATTGGTGATACTTAATACTTGATTTATGATTTTGTTTTTCATAGGAAAATCATATTTTGAGTTTGGGTTAAATCAATTAGTTAGCAAATTTGTTTAGAAAAAAATAAAATAATTTGGTTTATTTAAGATAAATAAATTAAAAAATTAGGAAGATTTGAATCTTCGATTCTAGCCTAAAATCGAGAACCAAACCGAATATGTCGGTTCAAATATCCATTCTGATATTTAACTCGAGAAATATCGCTCGGTTCAGTTCGAGTCCGGTCTGATTCGATTAGGGAGTTTGTGTAACCCTATTGCTTCTTGTACATGTCTTGTTGACACATCAAGTTGACTTTTTTATGTGTAAAAAACTCGTTCAATTATTGAAAAAATGATGTTAAAATTAATGTACAAAAATTTGTCAACTCATATAATGTCAAATTTAATTTACATATTGCATTTTTTGTTGTCAATGTCTAAAACATGAAATTAAAGTCTGAGAGTCGAGTGGATAAGTCTGAATATTTTAATATCTGAAATGTGAAGTCATTCGTTACATTTTCGATATTTCGTAAATGAAACCGCTTAAAAGTTTACTTACTAAATCTAATTTGAATCCTAATTTGATTCTACTCATAATGTATTTTTTTTTTTAAATCGTGAGTTGACAATACAATTATATGCTCAATATCTACTAGAAATAAAAGAAATAAAATTTGTCACCTAATATATATTTTTAAACATTCTTAATTCACTGCAAATATGTCAATAAATAACATCCTATATATAGCAAATAACAAAATATGTTATCAGATCAAATCCAATAAATAGTAGAACATAAATATCAAATATTATACCAGATGAACAAGCAAAAAAAATAAAAAGTGAGAAACTAAATAAATTCTTTGTATTACAACTAGCATAACAATTAGCATTGTCAACTTTTCTTTCCATTTCATCATTTCCGTTGCATCCCATCGGATCATTAATTCAGGTGAAAAATTATAAATAATAATAATTGAAAAAACATTGGTAAAGAAGAATAAATTTGATTCCAAAGTCAGGTACTCATGGTTTCGGGTCAAGAATCAAGAACCGTCGAGAACCCGATGATTCACAATTTCAACTCATATTTTTTCTGAAAATCGAATTGAAACCATCAACTTCGATTCGGGAGGTTTGATTTACGGTTAAAACCTACATAAAACTACGTCAATACCAATTATTATTGTTATCAAAAAACTTTTTAACGTGTGTCCAATAAATGAGTTTTAAAAAATTAAATATATACAAGACTGGTATTTATCAGTGATTAAATTTTTGGTACCTAAGTACATAATATTTCAACTATCAAAGTTTGAGTACAAAATTGTGAAAGCAAGAAAATGATATTTATTGAACATAGGCCAAATTTGAATTATTAATAGAGTAGTAAAATATATTAGATTATATTTTATGTTTTCAGGGCAGCAAGTTGGGTTCATTAAACAACATGATGATATGATCCAACGTATAAAACATAAAATAGTTGGATAAACATATTTGTACAAAATTTTGTTGACAAAATGATGTATTCACTCTCGCAAAATTAACGGACCCCATGTGTATTTAAAAAATGTTAGCTTGTGGTCTTCTCTATTTTGATTCTCCGATCACGAGAAGAGAATAAAAGAGGAAAAACAATTCTATTTCTACTTGAATAGAATTTACAACACAATTTACAAACTCAAAAAAAAAAAAAAAAGATTAGAGAGACTTTTTGAGATTTCCCTCTCTCTTGAGGCATATAATTCATTTTGTGACATCCCTTATTTATAGAGGAATTAGGCTACAAACTGCCTCAATTTTATGGCCAAAATTCTGACATTTAGGTGCTTAATAGACAGTCAAAATTTGTGGGCTGCTTTCTTCATGAAGTAATTAAAATTATGGCTATGTTCATGCACTAAGGAATGTTCTAGTTGTCAATCAATCAAGAATTATGACTGGAGAATTTTATTTCAAATTGTCTTCTTACATACGTGTTTCTTCTCCATTAAGAAATTGAAGTTGTGACTTATTTTCAATTAATTCAAAAGGAAGAAACTGATTAAAAAGCCAACTGGAATGCGGCTGGACTTATCAATTCTCCCCCTCCAGTCGCATTTAAATCAATTGTTATTTAACAACCATTCCAGCTATGTCTCTGCAAAGCTCTAAATTTTCTCTTGGAATCACCTTTGTTAACATATCTGCTGAATTTTCATTGGTGTGAATCTTCACTAGTTTCAACAGTTATTGATCCATCACTTCTCTTATCCAATGATAGTGGATGTCGATGTGCTTTGTCCGAGAATGGTACATTGAATTCTTACTTAAGTCTAGAGCACTTTGATGTCACAATGTATTTTATAATCCCTTTGCTTGATCCCTAGTTCTTGGAGAAATCGCTTTAACCACAACATTTCTTTACCAACTTCTGTTGCTACAATATATTCTGCTTCTGTTGTAAATAAAACAACACACTTTTGTAGTCTTGACTGCATGAAACAGCTCTCCCTGCAAAAGTGTAGAGAAATCCTGAAGTAGATTTGCTACTGTCAAGATCTCCCGTCATATCTGAATCTGTATAACCTTCCAAGATTGGATCAGCTCCCCCGTAGCACAAACATATCTTTGATGTACCTTTGAGGTACCTGAGAATCCACTTGACCGCCTCCCAATGCTCTCTTCCAAGATTAGAGAGAACATGACTTACCATGCCCTCCGCATGAGTAATTTATGGTCTTGTGCATACCATGACATACATCAGGCTTCCAACTGCTAAAGAATAAGGTACCGATGACATCTCCTCTATCTCTTTCTTGGATGAGGGGCATGAATTCTTGCTTAACTTGAAGTGGTTGACCAGTGGAATGCTAACATGTTTGACTTTATGCATGTTGAATCTCTTGATGACTCGTTCAACATACTTCTCCTGAGAGAGCCACAACCTTTTATTCTTCCTATCTCGAGTTATGTATATTCCTAAAATTTGTTCAGCTGGGCCTAAATCCTTCATGTCGAAGGACTTGGAGAGTTCCTTCTTTAGCTGCCTGATTTTTGTTGCATCTTGTCTAACGATCAGCATGTCGTCTACATACAGTAGAAGAGCAAGGAAATTGCCATCTGAAAAGTATTGAATATAAATGTATCGATCTGTAGCTGTTCTTTTATAGCCTTGACTCACCATGAAAGAGTCAAACTTTTTGTACCACTGCCTGAGTGCTTGCTTAAGACCATATAAGCTCTTCTTTAGCTTGCAAACGAAGTTTTCTTTCCCTGAAACTTCAAAACCTTCTGGCTGCTCCATACAAATTTCTTCATATAAATCATCATGAAGAAATATTGTTTTGACATCCATCTGTTCAAGCTCTAGATTTAGACTGGCTACTAATCCAAGGATAACTCGAATTGAGGCCATTTTTACAACAGGTGAAAAAATCTCGTCAAAGTCAATTCCCTTCTTCTGAAGAAATCCTTTGACTACCAAATGGGCCTTATGTTTTACCACCTTTCTGCTACCATCTTTCTTAAGCTTGAATTTATTCCTTAATATCTTCTTTCCCTTCGGAAGCCCAACTAACTCATATGTTTGATTCTTCTGTAGTGATTTCATCTCATCATGCATTACTTGTATCCAATTGTCTTTGTCCACATGAGTTTGTGCTTCCTGAAAGCTCTCCGGATCTCCTTCGTCAGTGAGCAAAAGGTACTTTGATTCTGGATATCTCGTTGATGGAATCCGTCCTCGTTCAGATCTTCTTACATGTGGATCGTTGATTTCAGGAGGTGCATCATCATCTGGTTAAAGTGATGATCC